GTTGTGATTGTTTTGTCTTGATGCAATGTACGTTAACAAAGTCAGAGTGTTTGAAGGCTTGCTGATCACTTGTTAACGTGGAGTTCAAAATATCACAAACTGATTCTTTTAAAGTATCACTGGTCTCATTGCCATTATCAGACACACCAAACAGCAATATGTTTAACCTTTCTACTGCAATGTTCCAAGCGATCAATAGTAATTTCCATGTTTTTGACCTTCTGGAGAATTTCGGAGTTATCATCAGTTGAGGGTATTTTCGACTCGAGACCATCCATACGATCTGATATCGCATCCATATGCAGGCGCATCACAGTTTGTTGTTGTTTTAGATCTTCCCCAATACTAATGTTCATTTTCCTAGTATCAGCCTTGACTTCACGTATTTCTCTGGACAGTTCCTGTAAAATATAACCTTTGAGTGATGCATATTCATCAACGTTTGGTGGCCCCGGGTTTAATTCGACATCACCTGACAGCAATAAACAGTTTCGTGTCTCAATTAGAATTACACTCAAATAAACAACAGTACAAAGAACCAGAAATGTACCTGTGAGCCGATAGCCAAATACATAATTCAACGACCATCTCGTCCACGGAGTATACTGTCCAACATGGCCAACATTTTTCGTGTGCCTCTCGGGTGGGAGAAACTGCCAATCCGTACGTCTTGTAGATAATTTCCTCTATCTTTCGTAGACATGGTGTATAATTATCTTCCTTTTGCTATTCCTGGTACTTCTTGCAGATTGTATTTGGCCATGTCTGTACCTATAGCGTGGCATTTTGCTGTTCTCCATTCCCTCTCTACTTTTTCTGTAGGTGGCAATAGAACACTTGGAGACACTGCATTTTTGTGTAGTTGTGTTGGCTTTTTGCTTGCACACAAGATAGTTTTTGTATCTTTTGTTTTTGTATAGCAGCATAGAGGACCTAGTTCTACACCTTCTTCGTTTGCGGATAGAATTTCTACCTGGAATATTGGGCAGTTTCGGAAACCAAAATCTCCTGTAGCCCATCGTATAGCTCTATTCCATTTTCTGTCGTCTTCAACAGACATTGTTGTTGGACAAATTCGTACTCCAGCTATTCTTCCAGTTGTATGTGCATACCAAGCTACAAATATAGTTCCTTGTGGGCGATCTGCTAGCACAAAGCAACGATCTAGGCAACAAGCAAGAATTTCCCATTGTTTTGCGGGTGGTTGTACTACAAACAAAGGGTTGTTTGCTGGGGAAACTATCCATAGAGCATCTTCTACCAAATAGTCTGCTGTTTCTGTATCTCGTAATTCATCGTTGCAAGCATACAAAGAAACTTCTATACGTGTGCAGCCTCTAGATTGTACTTGTGGGTGTAGAAATGTCTTGCCCAAATGTTTGTTTGGACAGTCTACATAGTCTGCAAGATGTCCGCCAAGATGTCCTGGTATTTCTCCTGCTTCGACATTGGGCACGACTTTGTTGTACAACTTCGTTCTTGTTGTATAGCCATCGTAGGTGTGTACCCATGTACAAACATGTTTTCCAACGCTATCTGTAATTGCGAGAATAGTTGGAGTATTTTCTTGCATAGCTGCTGCGAGGTCGCCTTGTTCTGGGAAACCATGTTCTTTGCAGAGATATTCTTACTAGTGTACCAGAAAAGTCCCTCGTGTAGTCTAAAAAATACAAACTGTGTGGTGGTAGTGGTCTTTCGAAGTCTGGCAAAGCGGCATGCCATTCTTCTATAGGTATTTCAGAAACATCTATCGTTACTACAAACAAGCCATGTGCGTCTTTTTCTGGATATAGTTCTTTCCACTTCTTTTTCGCTTTCTGCTCTGTATCTTGCTCTATTGTACTCCGTATGGCACTATTTTTGGTTTCGGTATGTGCAGAAATAGTATGCAAAATTGTTGTATGGATATGTCCTCTTTTTTCGCCATCTTGAGTTTCTCCCATACTTGTTCGTACTGCTGTAGAGATTCTAGATACAATAGGGTCAAGGTAGGCCTTTTAACTTTTAAAAGTTGCTTGGTTGAATTTGTCATGTCAGAAAACATATTATTAGACACTAAAATCATGACTATCGGACAATGTTAACTGTGTTTGTGAATTTCACTGACTGCCAAAAGTGCGTTGACCTTTCAACGTTTTTGGCCATAGCTCATATATTTCTAGGTTTCTTATGACTGGACGAGTAATTTGATATGCATATCGACACAATTTTGAATTTTGACCCCTGTTTGTCCTTTGTTGACCCTTCCCAAAAATGCCCGGGATTTTCAACCGGGCAGCCCAAGTCAAAATTGTTCAGTATACATCAGGAAACTCAAAAACATTTTCAAACCTTTGTTTCCATGATTTGGTCACGGGACCTACAGGTTGGTCCTTGACTATAAAGTTGTATGTTTTTTTTTCTTCGAGTCTTTTATGCATAACTCTAAATATGATTTTACTGGTCTCTTTTATTTTTAGCTCAGGTGGATAAATAAGTGGAAGTTAAGTAAAAGAACGGTACACCACACGAAGGGACAGTATTTCCTATATTCACGCATGTTAGAGTAATGCGAGGTCCACATGACCAGCGTTTGACATGTACATATCACTTGGCCGCCACATTTGCACACTGTACGCAGGTCTTGAAATAAATTAGCGACAAGTGACTATGAACATATATGACAGAGGTGTGAAACAATGGCCTTCGTTTTTATGTATTTTCTAGTGATAGTGCAGTAGTCGTTACTGCTGTGCACATATGACACAGATTGTAGTACCTTTGAAATCTCGTATGACAATGTTGAGTTTCATCCGATGTTCATATGGAAAAGACCCATGAAGATCTGGGTTAGAATAGGTCTTCAGCAGCCCATACTTGCCGTAAAAGGCGACTATGCTTGTCGTAAGAGGCGAATAACGGGATCGGGTGGTCAGGCTCGCCGACTTGATTGATGCATGACATCGATCCCAATTGCATGGATCGATGCTCATGATGCCAATCACTGGATTGTCTGGTCCAGGCTCGATTATTTACAGACCGCCGTCATATAGCTGGAATATTGCTGTTTGCGGCGTTAAACAACAAACAAACAAACAAATGTCATGGAAGATTGCCATATTAGTATGTTTTTCAATGTCTCGATAGTAGAACTGCAGTATATTGCTATCTTGGCTCCTTAGTGTGTGGAAACTACGTCAGTGGCGTCAGGAGGTAATTAGTAACATATGGCGAGGAAATACACTTTGCTGTGCACTGACAGTTCCCACAGTCCAAATGTTCGCAATGCAAAATTCCCTGTTTTATGCCACCCTGTTTCTAATGCCATGGTTATGTTTCTTAGACCAACCGTTCAAATACCCTGGTTACAATCATGGAAGTCCCAACATCATAAACTCCAGCTTAATCTTCTGATAGACCGTATTGACACTACTAAACTGCCCGCAATAAGGATGATGTAATAACCCTACGCCTACCATCAAAGTCTACATGCAAACACTACATCACGGAAGTGATCAGGAGTTTTGAGGCACAGGCCAATCCACAAAGGAGGATTTTGGGGTAGGGCTTATACTTGATTGACCCACTGACATAATAATCAGCTATGTCAACGACTCTCTTTTTAAAATTACAATTGTCTGCATTTGACCCCAGGGTTGGCAATATGTATGGATGCAGTCCTGTTTGAAAAAAGTAACATGTATTGAATGGATGTTTCTTGGATCTTCTTTAAACTTCCATATATCATGTCAGGAAAGTCTAGTTTTATCTCCCTGGTTTTAACGCCACCCTGGTTATAATGCCGTATTTTCCACTGGACGAAAGGTGGCATTATAACCAGGGAGGACAGTATGTGCTAATTTATGATTATGGGTGCATAGCGGGTACTTGTAGTGTTTAAGTTGTATTGCCATTGCGACATGTATCGCGTGTGGTAGAGGTGCCCAACACCTCATCCATGACGTCAGATGGCAGCTGTGAATGAATCACTTACACCTTGAGAGAAGGATAACGAATCGTGATGGTTAATAATTATTCAAGATTCACCTAGGGTTATACCTGACACAATTTCAAATTACTGTCTTCTTCGAAAACATTTTATACTTCAAATGAATAAACCGGTCTGTGAACAAAGGCTTCGTGTGAAAAATATATTGGTATTGCCATTTTCACCTCTTGTTCTCTTTGTCTAATAATTACATTAGTTGGTCAACGTAAACATTTTCCACAATTCAATAGTATTACTTATATCCATATGGGTCACGATTTCCACGCATATCTCGACATAAGCCTATCATAGTTTTGACGTTCTTTTACCTTTCGAGAACACAATCAGAGATAAAAATCACATTAACTCATTTTAAGTTCACAACACAATTCATTTCATGAACTGTTTATGTACATGGAGGTTATGTGATTTTGACAAGAAACTTTCATCCCTCTGCAGAGAATGCGTTCCTCGTTTTCGTTCGTAAACTAAGACCTGCGAAACTCCTTCATTGGTACAGTAAAAGATCAAAAACACAAACATATCAGTACATGCTTTATTAACGTTTAAAACGTTGTTAATACAATCCCAGCATTTTCTCCCACAAATAGTTTATGTACATGGGGGTTCAGTGGTTGAGAACAGACCAGCCTATATAGCTTTACATAGCAATCAGCTTCTTACCTGCTTTCCATAGAATCGTTATATGATAGCGTGTTGATATTAACACAGCTTTGCAGAGCATGTCAGTGATTACATGGCGTGTCAGCTCTAAGTGTTCTTGGAAAAGAATGTGGTCGGAGTTCCTGGACGTTCATCACTAAGTCTTTAAACAGCAGAAGCTTACAGAACATGGATCACCGTACATATGAACAGCATGCAGAACCTGACAGCTAAAAGATGCAACTGTACACTATGAGTTGCGTATCCCTCGACCATAGGTCCACAGAAGTCACCAATTCCCTTAAAATTACAACCCGTCTCTTTACATTATTGAGAAAAGGTCTTTGTGGTAGCCTAACCTCTCAGGTTATCAAAACGTTGTCATTCTGCGGTCAATTGCCGTTTTCGATGACTTCTTATCTCTGACAATGTTCAACATCTCCTCAATCACCTGTTCTAGATCACCCGGTTGGCCATACGAAGCCTCCTTGTAGTTCAGTCCCCATTCGATAGTGACAAGGCAGTCTGCGGTCTCTGGGCCCATGATGCGCGGAGCGGATGTGGCGCGGTTGTAGCCAACAACTAGCAATGGCACGTCCTCTCCCTTCAACTCAATTATACGTTCTCTGAACGCTGATATGGTCTGGAAACATTCTTCATCGTCCATGTAGAAGACTAGGATGAAAGCGTCACTCATGCTCACGGTGAGTCGGCTCAACCCAGCTGCTAGGCCCTGAAGTCTGTTCATGCTGAGGGTGTCCAGAGACGCCGACTTCCTCTGGATTTGTGTCTCGAAGGTCTGCTTGAGCGCCTGAGTTATATCTTTTGGGCCGCATGCTAGAAGACGACAGACCTGTGGACCAGAACGCTCCCTCCCCCCAGTCAGAGACATGGAGAAGGAGCGAATAACATTGATGAATCTAGTCGCCATCGCTAGTGATTACTGACACCTTTTGTTGAAGTATATAGAAGCCTTTTAGTCTCGTGTTGTAGCTTTGTATGGAATATTTTGAGCTCCTCTTGAAACGGTTCAGTCCTGGCGAGGTTCCTGTCTTCTCCCCTGAAGAGTTATAACGTTGTTGAATGCAATTGTTTTGTCTCCTTCAACAGCTGCGACTGATGGTCGTCTCAGGTCTACTTGAATGACTGCCGAGGTGGGAGTATTTATTCAATCAGTGACTCACATAGGTTGACGCATACTCCAGATGGTGACAGTTTCTCTTCTGAGATGACACGCCTCATTCAAATATTTCTATTTCTGTCACAAAGCATGGTGTCTTAGAAGAACTACGTGATGAGATCAATGTGAATAACATGAATGTTTATAATTAACAGTTAAGCCTTTTCTTTACAATAACAACAAAGATGCACGGACACAAACACAACGGATTCATTTACTGATAAGCTTTTCCGCGACGTTCTAGTTTACTTGTATATTTTTGATGATGCATATCTGTTAGTTTGGGCATGGAATACGATACACGGCTTTTGGGCTGAGGAATTGTCTTCACATCCAGTGAGTTAGTTATCATTCATAGTTTAAGTCCTGCTCATTGTAGCATTGGGCTGTTGATTCCCACGGTTTCGTGTACAAGGGGCTTTCGAGGAGACTATGAGAAAACTTGAAAACTTGGCTGAAAGGTTCTGAGCCTAACTATGAAGGATAGTATATCCTCAACAGTTTGCATACATGTATTAAGTACTTTTGATGGGTTTTGGAATAGTTTCTAAGAAAGGTTTGATGAATAAGTAGATATGTGCGGAATATATTTATATGTATTTATTATACATAAGTCAAACTTTGTGATGAATCTGACAATTCTTCTTTCATTATGGTAACCGCAAAGCATAACAACAAGATGGACGCCCTTTACGTCCAAGTTAAAAATATTTAGAAATATTCTTAAGAAACCTTATACGGTAAGTTGAATACATACATAGGCGGGGAGATACTGTAACTCCTGTCTATGGTATTTTAGAACCTAGTCCTTCTTTGCTATCATATATTGCACGCACTGTTGAACAGGAGGCACAGCAGGCGACAGGAGCTCAATTCTTGCACATTGATAGTCATCCTTTTTTTGTTATCCTATACGAATCTTTTTCATACACTTGTATCACCAATGGGATGCAGAACTGAAGAATTTTCCTCACTCAGCTTCAGTCAAGTTATCTGGAACCACAGGTGTTATGTAGCCGCCTGTTTGAACTTGGAGAGCCCGTTTACTCTCAAGAAATGAGGAATAACTCCGAGGAATGACGAGAGAATGCGAATGAAAGATACGGCAAAAACAGTATAAATAACACAACGAAAGCCTCTTGGTCGTGATCCTCCTTTGTACACCACATCCATGCATTGAACAGGGTGTTAGCTTATGATTATGGGTGCATGGCGGGGCCTGGGAGCTAGCTAACATCACGTTTTTAACATTTCTGACCCACCAGGAGGAATGGGGCCTTATGGAGTGAGTGAGTTGGTTGTAACGCCACTTTTAACAGTATTCCAGTTATATCACGGAGTGTCAGCTAAATGTGGGAGGAAAGCCCGACGTGATGCAGGTCTCGGACGTTTACCACTTCGATGAAACCCACGAGCACGGGTATGGTGCTGACAAACCTAGAAACATTATCGGAGCGAACCAGGATTCGAACCCACAATCAAAGGTTTCTAGCGTGCCCAACTCTCTATACACTCTGTGAAAACTGTATACACTATGTACAAAAAGACATGAATTAATCTTAAATTGTTTGTTCAAAATGTCTGCCAACATTACGCATGCACAAAACTTGAAATTCAAGGACTCCTTATTTTTTTACACTGACGTCAGTCCGTTTCTGAATAAGAAACATTTAGAACTGGCTGACAAAATTGCTATATCATTGTTTGTTATAACTGTGCTATTAAGGAAACCACATAACTATTAACCAGAACATAACTAAAGTATTCTTATTGTGACTCTCCTGAACCAAACCACCATCCTATGAGGCATAGCCAGCCTATGCCACCAATATGTATACGTGCATTGACACCCTGTCTAACTGTACAAAACATCGCCATTTGACGTGATGGATGACCAAGCTCAATACTGTTCAAATCGGCGTTAAACTCACCGATCACTCACTCACTCCTATAACAACTAACGGATCCTTTTTCAACGTGACGATGCATGGCCACATACAGCATGCAGTATCCTTTTCTTTGTGCAGATTATTAACATCAACGTTTTCTTTTGGCCTTTGGACACTCCTTGCACGTTGCCAGTAAAACATCTCTAGGACCACCTTGATCATCTTCCCGAGGCAAGGGAGTTAACTGACTGTAAAAGTCCAATTTCCACCCTTGCCGAACTAGGCTGGCATTTCTTGGCTGGATTATAGCGCCACCGGTGGATATTACGAGTTACGTCCCTTCTACCACCCTCCTATTGACCAATCAGATTCCACCTCTCATATCACTTGCATTTGCTCCAAACAAATGGCGGCGCCCAGTCAAGACGATCTGATCGATGATCAAAATCTTTATTGTAACAAAACGGGACTTACGTCACGAAGTGCATTAAATCATGTGAGCACCCTGATTAAATACATAAAATGATTTGGAAAATCATCTGTCGACGCCAAGTTGACGGTACAAACCCTTTGCAAATCCTGCAGTCGACCGAAATCTGCACGTTGAAATCCGTGTTGTTTACGAATCGGATGTAGATTTCGTTACGCAATTTTGATTGGACTATGCATCGACTCGTTAGTCCAGCCAAAATATAACTCCATAATTGCAGCTTAGTTCGTCAAGGGTGGAAACTGGACTTTTACAGTCAGCTAACTTGCCATGGGAAGATGCACCTTGGTGGTCAGATCAGAAAAACGCTGCTGCAAACAAATGAGATATAAAACAGGCACCATGGAAAGCCCTTCCTGGCGCACCTCAGTTTTATCCCTTGGATTCGGGTTTTCAATCTCATTCAACCCGCTGACGTATTTTATCCAACACAATGGGAATGTTGACTATTTGAAAGTTCAAGTATCGATCAATCTTCAAGTATCGATCAATCTTCAAGTATCAATTCAAGCACTTAAGAGGCCTATAGTACATGTGACAGAGATGTTGCACACATTTTAACTAATATTTACACATTTGGTTCTTTATAACAGTGCGTGGAATATATATATGGCTAAGGTTTGTATTATGTGTGTTGTCGGAATTTCACAATATTTGGATCATTAAAGTAGTATACAGGAATGTATATTTTTTCTCACAGTGGAGTTCAATGGACATACAAGTCAAAAGTGATATTCATCCTCTATATCTCGGCTCTTACACATTTTACATAATCGTTCTGACCTTTCAGTTTTTGTGTATCTCCCACTCTCGATGCATATATCATAGGATGAACATCGAAATCTTGCCAATGAATTGCGGTATTTCTTTATATTCACATAAAACAGACACTCTTAGGTGTATATATGAGTTTTCAACATTATATAAATTCAAAATTTATTTGATAATGTCAACGAAAATGACCACGATTGCAGATAAATATCTTTTAGCCTCTGTAGAAATGAATTGGTATATACGCTTTCAGATTGTACAAATTGATCATACCAAACATTTCCAAAACCACTATTGAATAACATTGTTTTCACATCAGTTACCCAATTAGTCTTTCCATTCGTATCGTATAACATTATCATATTGTAACATTTCTTAGGGAAGGAGTTTCAGCCAGTACTTTATGACTTTCAGCTGTGAATATACAAGTAGAGGAAATCTACCACATTCCCCATAAACCATTGCGCTAGATGAGTTGGGTTTTACACCAAGAAATGTTTTACATGCAAATAAGTGGACCTATTTGATATAATTAAATTGTTTTAATCCCCATGTTTCAGCACCATAAAGTAAAATTGGGTTCTCTGCCGTCAACAAGTTAAACCGACTTTCATCAGTAAACAGCACTCGACGACAATTTCTCACTTGCCAGCGTCGAACCTGCCTCGCCCATCGCAGTCTCAGGCGTCGATGTTGAGCAGTCAGTACCATTCCTCGGAAAGGACCACACGCTCGGATTCCAGCAGCACGAAGTCGTCGTAGTAGTGTACGTTGGCTAATGGGATGTCCCAACGCTGTTGCTGCCTTCGCCGTCGCCGTCGCTGTCGCCGTTACGAATCTGCTTCGCAGGTGAATGAGTCGTATCTGACCGTCTTCCAGTGGTGTTGTCACTCGGGGTCGTCCGGTTCTAGGCCTGTCCTGTGTGCCCCCTGTCTGCCTGTACCGTTGAATCAGCCTGACTACTGTCAATGGTGTACAACCAAACCTTCTGGCAATTTGGACCTGTGTTGCCCCCATTTCGGTCATACCGATGGCTCTCTCTCTCTCTCTGCTCCTGTGACAGTCGTGGCATTTCTTTTGTGTGCTTTCATCACGTGTGGTTATACCCTGCAGAAGAACGCATTTATACAGCTAACATGCACGTGCAGTTTATGCCATAGGCGGGAAACCTGTTTTCACCAATTTTTTTTGTCACCGCACGAGCGCCGCCAAAGGTGGTGCGTTCGGGTGAGGTGTTTTTGGTACCTGTTCCTGGGCAGTCATATTCCTAATACCCACTTTCCACTAGTTATCGCTGTTTTAGGAAAATTACAAATTGCCAACCTATACTTTCTTTTGTCGCTTAGTTTAGATAAGCCGAATGTATAAATAATTAAAACATGGCGACATCTATTCCTGGAGATTTGTTACATTTTAAATGATGGATGCTGTTTAATATTTCGTCTTTTGTTTTTGGCATATTGAGAATATGCTCTGCAATATCTTTAGTGACATAATCATTGGTACAGTCATCTTGTAAGATTCTCGGAAAGTCGTCCGGCAAAGTTGATGTTTGCTCACCAGCAAACATATCTCTAAAATGTGCAAAAAAGTGAGCAATC